AATAAAGAGGGGCAGGGGGTGGAGAAGAACAAAGGAAAACCCTGGGGAACATGTCCAGAACTCTTGGAAAATGCTCTGAGGGACAGGGGGGGATTTGGGGTGTTCTGGGCAGGGCCAGGGATTGGACTGGATGATCCTTGTGGGACTCTTCCCACTCAGGATATTCCAGGATTCTCTGAATAAATCCAGTCTCCAGCTCTGTCTTATCCATTCCCCTCTCACTTGCTTTTGTAAATCCAGAAATTGTACTTTAGCCTGTAGAATTCCTGATAAATTCCAGCTGCTCTGAAATCCTCCCCTGCTCCGTGTCCCCCATTTTTCCAGGAAAATGCCCCTCCATCTCCCCCAGCTTTGGGGGGCAGGGGGTGGAGAAGAACAAAGGAAAATGATGGGGAACATAATTTTGTTGCCCAGAACTCTTGGACAACACTCTGAGGGACGGGGGGGGATTGTTGGGGTGTCCTGGGCAGGGCCTGGAGTTGGGCTGATGATCCCTGTGAGACCATTCCATGATTCCATGCCATTCCTACCCCCCTGGGGATGGGGTGTCCCAGCAAACACTGAACCCAATATCCCATCTATCCCTGCCTTCTTTTAATTTAAAAACTGAATTGCCCTGGAAGTGTCCAAGGCCAGGTTGGAGAAGGGAAGGCTCCAGGGAGACCTGAGAGCCCCTTCCAGGGCCTAAAGGGGCTCCAGGAGAGCTGGAGAGGGACTTGGGATGAGGGCTGGAGGGACAGGACACAGGGAATGGCTCCAAAGTGAAAGAGGGGGCTTTTTGCTGTCTCCTCCCTTCTCGGGGCAGTTGGAAGCTCTGGAGTGTCCCACCCCCCCCATGGATGGGCTGTTTGCAGCCAGTTTCCCTCATGGAACCTGGGGAATGTGTGGCTCTGGAAGTGGCTGGGGCTCAGTGCAGTGATGTTCCCGTTGTTTCCCCCTCAGACAGACCCCGAGAACACGGATTACACCATGGAACACGGAGCCACTCGCAACTTCCAGGCGGAGAAGCTGCTGGAGGAGGAGGAGAAGAGGCTGCAGAAGGAGAGGGAGGAGGAAGAGCTCAACAACCCCATGAAGGTCCAAGAGCTGAAGGAAAACCTCCCCCCTGCCCTGCCTGACTTCCCCCAGCCCCACGGGCGACCTCGTCCTACCCAAAAATCGGGATGAGGGGGATCCTCTTGTGCTCCCTGGAGCTGCTGGGGGGGTCACTGCTGGCACATCCCGACTCATCTCCTCCCCCCCAGGTCCTGGAGAACAGAACCAAGGACTCCAAGCTGGAGATGGAGGTTCTGGAGAACCTGCAGGAGCTGAAGGAGCTCAACCAGCGCCAGGCCAACGTGGACTTCGAGGCCATGCTGAAGCAGTACAAGGAGTACGAGGAGGAGCAGAGGAGGAGGGAGCAGGAGGAGGATGAGCAGGAGATGAAGTGAGTGGGCTGGGAGTGCTTGGAGTGGGATCAGCCAGGCCCAGGAGCTGGGTGGGGGTGGGATGGGGAAGGGTTTGGGGGCAGCTTTGTTGTGGCAGAGTGGGAGAGGGTTTGGTGTCACTGCTCCACCTGGCAGGGAAATGGGAGGAGGGATGTGGAAGTGATTCCAAGGCTGGAGCCGGGCTGGGAGAGCTGGGGGGGTTCCCCTGGAGAAGAGGAAGTTCCAGGGAGACCTGAGAGCCCCTTGCAGGGCCTGAAGAGGCTCCAGGAGAGCTGGAGAGGGACTGGGGACAAGGGATGGAGGGACAGGACACAGAGCGTGGCTTCAAACTGAAAGAGGGGGAATTTAGATGGGATATTGGGCAGGAATTCCTCCCTGTGAGAATGGGGAGGGACTGGGATGGAATTCCCAGACAAGTTGTGACTGCCCCAGCCCTGGAAGTGTCCAAGGTCAGGCTGGAGAAGGGAAGGCTCCAGGGAGACCTTGGAGCCTCTTCCAGGGCCTGAAGGGGCTCCAGGGAGACCTTGGAGCCTCTTCCAGGGCCTGAAGGGGCTCCAGGAGAGCTGGAGAGGGACTTGGGACAAGGGATGGAGGGACAGGACACAGGGAATGGCTTCCCAGTGCCAGAGGGCAGGGATAGATGGGATATTGGGAAGGAATTCTTCCCTCTGAGGGCAGGGAGGCCCTGGAATGGATTTTCCAGAGGATGCTCCATCCCTGGGAGTGTCCCAGGCCAGCTTGGAGCACCCTGGGCTAGTGGAAGGTGTCCCTGCCCATGGCAGGGGGTGGAAGTGGATCTTTAAGGTCCTTCCAACTCAAACCATTCCATGATTTTATGAGATCTGGGCCGCTGGAGTGGCCCAGCTCCCCCTGGGAAGTGTCCTCACCTGGAGGGAGTTTCTGCTCCTGGTGCTCAGAACCTTCC